ATTATGTGCTTGTCAAAGAGGATTCGTCCTCCTAATGCCATTTTGGGTCCTTGAGTATTTGAACTCTTGATCTAATCGCTGCTGACAGGGGTGGCAGTCGGGTACATGTGTGTATGGTTCAGCCACAACGGGGAGCTGGGGGGGAGGGGTTGGGTGTGTGAGGGGTTTTGGGAGGAGTGGGAGTAAGATATATGTACTTGCTGAGGTTTAGGTTTTCGAGAATTTTAGACCTCCTGCACAATGAGATCCATGGATGTCCTGTGCGAGGGGTTTTGGGAGGAGTGGGAGTAAGATATATGGGTTTTAAAGAAATTTAGACCTTCTGCACAATGAGATCCATGGATGTCCGCCAAGATGAGCGGGAGCGGTGGAGAGGGTAGTGAATGTGCGCAGTTGTGGGAAGTAATTATTTTGCAGTATGGCAAAGATCTTAAAAAAGAAAAAAAAAAGACAGGGTTTAGTCACCTAAGGCAGATTTGGGAGGATAGTAGGGATCGTACCGGTTCGGATCGTGAGAGCACGTACTGGTTCGGATCGTGAGAGCACGTACTGGTTCGGATCGTGAGAGCAGACTCAGTTTGGCTTTATTGACTGAATCTGGCCGCTGTTAGATCCTGGTTCATCCACGGAATGTCAGAGTGTAAATATGCACCAAGGTTGCTGCCGTGATGGTCTTGCTGGAAAGGGCTGCTACGGAATCGATCAGATGCTAGCGCAGTCGGGTGGTTGGCCGTCCGTCAGCATGCCCTTAAACTGCCAGTACATCGCTGGGGCAAACATGAGACTTGAAATTGAGCCCATCGGAAAATTTTGGAGGCTCGGCCTACGAGCCCACTATGGGCAGTGGCTCCATCTAAAAGAAGAAAGACCAAAAAATGTCGCAGTGGTGAAGAAGAATGAGAAAGAAGAAAGACGGAGAAGGAGAGAGAGGGAAAGAGGAGCCAAAGAAAGGAAGGCAGGAAGGCAGCAAGTCGTACATGACCCACCAAGAAGACGAAAAAGTAGGCAAGAGAGAAGAAAAAGGAGGGACGCCAGACCTGAAAGCAGAGAAGCAAGAAAAAACCCACGAGCCCAGCTCAGTCAGTCCAAGAAGAAGACAAAGAAGGAAAGAGAGAAGAAAATGGAGGAAAGCCAGGGCTGAAAGAATTGGAGCAAGAAAAAAAACACAAGCCCAGCTCAGTCAGTGGCACACCTGTGGACGGTCGAAATTCAGGCCGGGTTTCGATTCCAAATGCAGCCAGCTGACGGCAATGAAATCATTCTGACCAGCCTGCGGCGGGTCAGTTGGATGATGACAACTGACTGACTGAATGAATGAATGAGTGAAAAAGACGAGGGAACGAAGCGAGGAAACAAAGCCAGTGAGCGGGTGCATTGAGTGAGAATGGGTGAGCAGAGCGAAGGGGTGAAGAAGGTGAAATGAATGCGTGATTGGTAGGTTGTGCAATTGCGAAACGATGTCCGTTTTTTGCAGTTGCTGAGGACAATGCAAAAGTCGCAGCCAACGCAGCAGAAGTTGTGTGGAGAAGGAGAACCGTTCCGTTCATACATTTTTTCTCACTTGTCCTGCTCGAACCTTGAACCATCTCTGTGTTGAATAGGTTGACGGACCGAAGGGGTGAAGGTGAAGTGAATGGGTGATTGGTAGGTTGTGCAATCCCAAAACAATGTCCGTTTCGCGGATGCCGAGGACAGTGTAAAAGTTGCAGCCAATGATGCAGCAGCATTTGTGTGAAGAACAGAGAACCGTTTCGTTCATATGTTTTTCTCTCACTTGTCGTGCTCCAATCTTGACCTATCTCTGTTTTGAATAGATGAACAGACTGAATGAAATGAAATGAAATGACTGTGTGATTTTGGGCAATTGCGAAATGATGTCTGTTTTGCAGATGCTGAGCGTGATGCAAAAGTCGCAGCCAACGCAGCAGAAGTTACGGAGAACAAAGACGGGGCCATGGTGATCCACGTGCCAGTGGATATCGAAGCGCAAAGATAGCGATAAAGAAGGGAAGGGTTGTTAAATGGATTTTCAAGTGAAGAGAGGAGAGAAGAGAAGAGAAGAGAGTTTTTGGTGTTGTGTGCGATATCTACACTTGTTGTTTTAGAAGACACTGGAGAGTGGAGAGCATAGCTGAAATCCACCCGCGTCTGGTATGTATTAACCAAAGTGACCCTAGCGTAGCCAAAAAGGTTGAAGTATGTGCAGCCAGCATGTGCTTCTTACAAAATGTCATCATCAGCCTCTATTCAAGCCGACAAGCTCACCTACCTCTACCCCATGGCAGTGAGCGTCTGTGTGATCAAAGGACTGCTTCTTCCTTGATGCACCACCCCCTCCTCTTGCGGCGATGTTCTTCCATTCTTCTTCTTCTTCTTCTTCTTCTTCTTCTTCTTCTTCTTCTGTTTCTTCTCAGGATTCTCCGCTTGCGGGCATCGTTCGACTTATATGCAGTCGTAGTTCCTATGTAATGAACTCTGTTATGTTATGTGTTTTATGACAGCCTTTCGCTGTCTTCCTTAGATCAATACCTTCTCTCATCTCTTCCTTTGTACTGCGATCTCCTTGTGCTTTTGCTGGATGGTTTCTTCTCTTTCCTCTCTTCTTCACCCTTTACCAAATTCAAATGCGCAACCCGTTGCCCTGTGTGTATGCGGTCATGGTTGAGTTATGGGATGGGCATATTTAGAGGCGCGACAGTAGAGTCAGGTTTTGATCTCTTGTTCTCGAGGATCGCCCTCAACCTCCGTCCTTCAGCAAATGCTTGTCATCACAGACTAGGCATGTTAGTTAGTCAGCGTACCTGAACAGCAGCTGGTGCGTGTTCTGCCCTTCTCCCCGCACCCCCTTTGAATGCCGAATCACCATCGAACCCCGTCCTTCAGTGAAAGTCTGTCATTACAGACTAGGCATGTTAGTTACTCAGCACACCCGAACAGCAGCTGGTGGCTATTCTGCCCTTCTCCCCCAACTCCGTTAAATGCCGAGTCTGTTTCCTCAAGGGCCTGTTTGAGTGCGCTGACGACCAGTTGCCGAATTACGCCTGCCCTTGCCCTTTAAAGCAGCTTTTAGTTAATGTCCCAACTTTAGGCTTTTGGAATGCACAAACACCTCTTGGTTCTGGTCTATCCCTTAGTCTCATCTCTTGCGTCGTCTTCGTGATCCTCGAATGTAACCTATATGTGATTTGACTATTCTTCTCTTGCCTTTTCTTTGATCCCATCTATAATTGGCTTGAAAGTTGGTACACATCGTTCTTCCCACGTAGTTGGATTTCCTGAGGCGGGAGGAATCAGCAAGCCCCTGTGTTGTCGGTACGACTCGGGTACGACCGGGTAAGCACTGTTCCTCCCTGCTGCTGCGGTTTTCTTTTTTTCTGGTTATTTTCTTTTCCGTCGCCGCTGCTGCGCTCTACTGGAAATGGACTTCATGTTTTGCTGTGTTGTTGATTTTCTGTGAGCGACTCAGTGCTGCATACCACTCCTTTAGCAGCATCTCCTCGTCCTCCCTTCAAAGCTGCATTGGCGCGAATTCCTGGCTGCGATTTTTATGGTTCATGTTTTGCTATTTTGTTGATTTTCTGTCAGCGACTCAGCGCTGCATACCAGTCCTTTAGCAGCATCTCCTCGTCCTCCCTTCAAGCTGCATGGGCGCAAATTTCTGGCTGCGATTTTTATGGTTTTTTATTGCAATATCCTCGAGCTCTGTTTTTCTTTTCCGATCGTGATTCGCCCTTCCAGCTTTTCCTGTGCTCGCTGTTGTCATTGTTTGCTGCGCTTGTCCTCCTCTCGTTTCCTTTTGTCGCATTTGTTCTTGGGGCGGTGGCGTGAAAAGGTGTTTCGGACCTGACCTCGTGTGTCAATCATGTGATGACAGCGGGCGGTGCTTATGTAAATCTAATTGAGGAGGAGTCTGCATCTGAGTGCAGATGTCTGCAATCCCATCTCCCTGTGAAGGTCGTAGAAAAAGGCGGTAATATAAGTGTTGACATCATAGACTATTAGACTTACCTTTCTAACTTCTCCCCTCCGCTGCAGTTGTGCGAACGCGACCAGGTTCATCTCCCCATGTTTACGGTTGGCACTCCAATTCATCTATACGGATCCCATTTCCCATCTGCATACATTCTTGTTGCATCATGAATACATCGATAGATGCGGGCACCACTGCTGCCGACGGTGCCGTTCCATTTTGCATTACGTTTCGTGTCATTCTTGGCCACCCACCCTC